TTTGTTGACCCTAACTGGAATGTACCTCTAGAGTTTTGGGGTGCACCACTGGTTCCCCACACTCCTCAGGTCTAGGAAATTTGCCTGACAACAAGAGCTGTCCAGAGATTCCTGAAGTCAACTCAAGTGGGCAATGTGGTGCTGTGGAGTAAGCCAATGGTTGGGATGCTGCATCCCATGTCAGAATGCTGGGAGCTGAGTCTGAACCAGCTTCCTTGCTGATGTGCCTGGGAGGTATCAGATAATGGCCCAAGTGCTTGGGTCCCTGCCATGGGAGATCCGGATGGAAGTCCTGGTTCCAGCCTGCCCCTAGTTCTGGCTGTTGCTGGCATTTTTTTTTTTTTTTGGTGGGGGGGAGTGAAATCAGCAGATGGAAGATTTCTTTCTCTGACATCTTGCCTTTCAAACAAACAAAATGTACCAAGAAAGAATCTGAGAGGAAGGGCAGCTGATGGGGTGGGGGAGGTGATGACCTAGCAAACCAGCCCCTGGCCTGGAGCATGAGGTTGACACGTGAGACATAGACAGGCACTGGACACCCGAGTCCAGCCACCTGACTTGTACCAGGCTTCCTGCTCCATCTGGTTCCCTGGGCAGGCTCCAAGCTCCGCCTCCCACCCCTGAGCCAGCTGTCACTCATCCCTTATCAGAGCAGCCTCTGGAGCAAAGTGGAAAGAGCAGAGTGAGCCCGCACACCAGGGGCAGCTCCCTCCCTGCACGGCCCTGGCAGAGTCGTCCACTCTGCCTGGACATCTTTGTGAAACTGGGACATTTTTCAAGACTGATTATATATATGATATATAGATCATATATATATAATATACATCATATCTATGTGTGTATCTATATGTATCTCTGATGTATCATACGAAAAAATGGCTACAGAAACCAAGATACAAAGGCTTAGAGCAGCTTAAGACACAGCTTTGGGCTTGTATTCTGTTTTTCTGGTTTTTTTTTAAACGTTTTCAAGTAGCCTGCAGGATACGGATGATCTCTCTCTCTCTCTCTCTCTCTCTCTCTTAAAGATATATTTATTTATTTGAAAGAGTAACAGTCAGGCAGAGGCAGAGAGAGAGAGAGAGAATCTTCCATCTGCTGGTTCACTCCCCAAATGACCGCAAGGGTCGGAATTGGGCCGATCTGAAGTCAGGAGCCAGGGGCTTCTTCTGGGTCTCCCACGTGGATGGTGGTAGCCCAAGTACATGGGCCATCTTCCACTGCTTTTCCCAGGAGCGTTAGCAGAGAGCTGGATTGGAAGTGGAGCAGCCAGGACTTGAACCAGCACGCATATGGGATGCTGACACTGCGGGCGGCAGCTTTACATGCTGTGCCAAAGCACCGCCCCTTCTGCCCCATATTCTGTGTCTCTGTCTTTTCTGTTTTTTTCTCCTCTACTTACCAGAGCAAATACGGTCAAACAGGATCCCCATCCAAAGATCCAACCAAACATGGATGAAAAATACCCAGGGAAAAACATTTTTTTAAATTGTCCTCACTCCCTAAACCGTTCAGTGTAACAAAACTATTTTAGTTTTTTTTTAAGGTTTATTTATTTTATTTGAAAGAGTTACACACAGAGAAGGAGAGGCAGAGAGAGAGAGAGAGAGAGAGAGAGAGAGAGAGGTCTTCCATCTGCTGGTTCACTTCCCAATTGGCCGCAACAGCTGGAGCTGAGCCAATACGAAGCCAGGAGCCAGGAGCTTCTTCTGGTCTCCCACGCGGGTGCAGGGGTCCAAGGACTTGGGCCATCTTTCACTGCTTTCCAAGGCCATGCAGAAATACAGATGATCTCTTTCTCTCTCTCTTTTTTAAAATTTATTGATTTATTCGAAAGAGAGCTGGATCGGAAGTGGAGCAGCCAGGACTAGAACTGGCCATAATATGGGATGCCGGCACTGCAGGCGGTGGCTTTACCCGCTACGCCACAGCACTGGCCACGTATTAGATTTATTACTAACCTGGAGGTGATTTAAAGTGATTTAAAGGTTGACTTAATTTATTTGAAAGGCAGAGTGACAGAAAGAGGAGAGAGAGAGAGAAACAGAGACAGAGACAGACAGATCTACCCACTGGTACATTCTCCAAGTGGTCACAACAGCGTGGTCTGGGCCAGGCTGAAGCCAAGGAGCCAGGAATTCCATCCAGGTCTCCCATGTGGGTGGCAGGGGCCCAAGCACTTGGCTCATCTTTTGCTGCCTTCCCAGGTGCTTCAGCAGGGAGCTGGAATGGAAGCAGAGTAGCCGGGATTTGAACCAGGCACCTGATACGGAATGCCAGCATGGCCACGATGCTGGCCCCTTAACTATGTCATTTTAGCCATTTTGTATAAGAGACTTGAGCACCTGTGGGTTTTGGTATCCTTGGAGGATCCTGGAACCAGTCCCCATCAGACACTCAATCATGACTATAAAACCATAAAGAAAACACCTGAGGCAGAACACATAACGCATTCACATACATGCACTTGACAGTTTGGACATTCATCAGAAATAGCAGCTGTGGTTTTTTTTTTTTTTTTCCCATATAAATTGAAGGGAAAACATTAGAGAAAAGAGAAGAAATGGTTACAAGACAGGGCCATCGAGGAGAGCCGGGGTCACGGGAGGGCCTTAGCAGGCAGGACGGGATGCAGCAAAGAATGGCAGAGCCCAGCCTCCTCTGCCCCACCTGCCCCGCGGCCAAGGTGACAGTGATGGGCGGGAAGTAAAGCTGTCACTTCGCAAACCTTGGGAGGAGTGTGAGCTTCCCCTTCATGCTTGGAGCTGCTGCCCAGACAGTCTCTGTGCACAGAGGTGGGGTCACCAGAACTCTCCAGTTCTCCCAAACGGCCCAGGACCAACAGTTCTCCCAGGGCACTTTTTCCTCTTCCCCTCTCTCTGGCTTCATCCGTTCCCCTTCTCTGCCTCGGGCCCTGGTGACTCCCAGGCAGGATCCTGAGACAGTAAGGAGGGTGCCGACCCTTAGGTGGACCTCCCACTCTGGCTGGACTCCCCAGAGCCCCCTGGCCTTGGGGAGGAAGCTGCCGGCAGTGGGTGCTGACTGCACGTGCAGCCCAGGCTCCTGGACTGGAGACCAAGGGCTGGTGCTGAGACGCACAGGTGCCCACATACAGGTGCCCACATACAGGTGCCCAGAGGCAAAGAGCATCCCAAGGGCCGTAAACCAGCACCCCCTCCCACCCCACATAAACAAGCAAACCCAGCCACAGCATCCTGCTCTGTGCTCCTAAACAGGGACTCTGCTCCCTAACTCCAGGACCCTTGCGGAGGTCCACATCTTAGGTGTAGCCGCTGGGGGTAGAATGGAGCTGCAAGAACACTGAATCAGCTCTCTGCTTGGCCCTGGAGGCCGTGGGCTCCCATCTCCACCCTCCCCTGTCCCCACAGGGCTTCCTTCCCAATTCCCAGGAGACTGGATAGTTAAGGGGACAAAACTGCTCCAACAGCAACATTTCCCATCAATGATCTTGTAGACCCCGATTCTTAAAGAACCCAAGTGACACGGTGGATATTTATTTGGTGCAATGGTTAAGCTGCCACTTGCGATGCCTCCATCCCATATGCGAGTGCCTGGGTTCAAGTTCCTGATTTGTTTCTGACTCCAGCCTCCTGCTAATGCACAGCTTGGGAGGCATCAAGTTACGGCTCAAGTATTTGGGTCCTTGCTACCCATATGGGAGACCCAGATTGAGTTCTGGGCTCCTGGCTTCTTACCTTGCACAGGTTTGGCTGTTCTGGGCATTTGGGAAGTGAACCAACAAAGGGGAGATCTGTGTTTATCTCTCTCTCTCTCTGCTTCAAATAAAATAAATACATTTTTTAAAAAGAATACAAAGATGGGCGCCGGGTTCTAGTTCCGGTTGCTCCTCTTCCAGTCCAGCTCTCTGCTGTGGCCCGGGAGTGCAGTGAAGGATGGCCCAAGTGCTTGGGCCCTGTACCCCATGGGAGACCAGGAAGAAGCACCTGGCTCCTGGCTTCAGATAGGTACAGCTCTGGCCATGGCAGCCATTTGGGGAGTAAACCAATGGAAGGAAGACCTTTCTCTCTCTCTCTCTCTCTCTGTCTATAACTCTACCTGTCAAAAAAAAAAAAGAATGCAAAGAACAACTGGCAGCTCATTTATTTCGTGTGTGTTGGGTGACACAGAGCATCAGCAGTCTTCCCCACTTCCTCTCAGGAAAGAACAATGCAGCTGTCACAGCCAGGGGGCGTCCTGTCGCCATTCTCTCTGTTCCACTTCCATGAGAGAAGGCCTGGCGTCTCTTAGGATGTCTCTCTCTCTCTCTCTTTTTTTTTTTAAACAGGCAGAGCGGGCAGTGAGAGAGACAGAGAGAAAGGTCTTCCTTTTGCCATTGGTTCACCCTCCAATGGCCGCCACTGCTGGCGCACTGCGGCCGGCGCACTGTGCTGATCTGATGGCAGGAGCCAGGTGCTTCTCCTGGTCTCCCATGGGGTGCAGGGCCCAAGCACTTGGGCCATCCTCCACTGTACTCCCAGGCCACAGCAGAGAGCTGGCCTGGAAGAGGGGCAACCGGGACAGAATCCGGAGCCCCAACCGGGACTAGAACCCGGTGTGCTGGTGCCACAAGGCGGAGGATTAGCCTAGTGAGCCGCGGCGCCGGCCTGGGGTGTCTCTTTCCCATGGACATCCAAGAGGCACCTCCTTCCACTCTCTCCAGACGCAGAGTCTGCTGCAGGCAGTGGAGGGGGTGGACCAGGTGGCCAGTGCCTTCCTCCTCCTCACAACCTCTGCAGCAACCTGACCCTCCTAACCCAGGGTCCACAAGGAGCCAGTGATCCAGGGTCAGGTGCCACGTTCCACCCTGCCTTGCAGGAAAACTTCTTCCATGGAATATTCTCTTTGTCTCAGCCCCAACCTCCAAGGGCTTTTTGCTTTCTGTAAGACCAACCCGTCAAGCCACTCCCCTCCCCGCTGCATCTCACCAACTCCCCTTCCAGCCAGGAATTATGGAGGAATCAAAACACTGACAGGACTACTTTGGGAAATGCTAACATATATTTTATTTCACAAGGTGGGAGATGGGGGGAGGGGATGATCACCAATAAGATGTCACCAAATGAGACACTGGAAACCCCACACTGGGCAAACACAGGGTTTGGTTCTGGGCAGGGGTTGGCGGGGGGGACAGCAGGGGGCAGAGATGGGAACTGGCAGAAGGGACAGCTGTCCGTTTGGGGCAGTCCCAGGGCGTGGCTGAGTCACGTCCCCCTGGAGAGTGAGCCAGGGACGTGGGCCAACACCACGTGCCTCTCCGCTCCCCATTCAGGCGAGCAATTAAGCGGTAAGGTCAAGGCCACAGACACATCTGTCCCAGCATACGCACACACACACACACATACCCACACACACACAGCAGATATATGAACACACGCCCGGGGAACGCACAGCACACAGGCACACACGCTCCTGCGCATGCACACCCGTCCATATATTAACTCTGATTTACAGGTGCACCCTCACCAGAGGGCAATCGGAAAACGATTGTGACTCTGAAGAGAGGAAATGGTTGCATTCCCCCCTGGTGCCAGCAGGGCTGGGGTGCAAGGGGCAGAGGGGTCAGGAAGCATCTTTGAGGTTCCTGGCGCCCCCTGCTGTGCAGGCTCCAGCCCCTGTGTTCTAAGCACAGGCCATTGCTGCTCCTTGGGCAGCCTCTAGGAGTCAAGGCCTCTGTCTCCAGCAGGCTGACCTGCACCGGCACTGGCCTGCCTCCAACGTGCAGGGCCCCAGCAGCTGAGACCCCCTTGCGTGCTCAGTTCCTTTTATTTCTGGATCCTTCCAGACACAAGTGAGCTTGCTGGCCTGAGCCCAGTGCCCAAATGACCAGGGATGGAGGCCATCAGCTCTTTCCACACCATCTAAGGAAGGGTCCCCCCGCCACCAAAGTCCAGAGGTGCAGCCCCCAAAGCCAGCCTGATATGGGAAGGTTTGGGGGTGGCAGCTGCCTTGGGGGTGTGTGTGAATGGGCGTCTAGGCCAAAGCAACCTCAGGGGAAACTGAGTCTGGGGCCTCGCTGCCTCCCACCGCGCTGAGGCCTGGGGTGGAATCAGAGGCCGCTGTTGCAGGGACGAGGAAAAGCAGGCACCCTTGCCAGGTCCTGACCCTGACACGAGCTGGGAGATGACAGAGGAGTTGTGCACAGTCTCGCCTCTGGCTGTGGGGCCCACAGTCGCTCCCGGCTTCCCAGGGAGGGTTTGGGTGGGAGCTTTTCCAGGTGGGGGTGGTGCATAAGCTTCAGGACAGCTGAATGCCTGAGAGAGCCACAGAGTCTCCATCGTGGGTCCCCTGCTGCCCTTGGAGACGCCCTGGGAGGCCTCTGAGCACCTGTTGGCCCGGCGTTGCTGGGGTGGCTGGTGCTGAGGACAGAAGGACCCTGTCCTGGGAGCCACACTCCGGGCGCCCCAGCTCCTTTCCTGCTACTTGATGGAGTTTTTAATTGTCCACCTCTGCCCCGTGCAGCTGCGGAGGATAAGGTCAATGCCAGCCAGGCCCCGGTTCTCCACCTCCAGGCAGCGCCCTGTGCCTTTATTCATGATGGCTCCATTCTGCACGGGAGGTGGGAGAGAGAGAGAGAGAGAGAGAGAGGGAGAGAGATGCTTAACCGGAGTAGGTCCTTGCATGTGGCTTTGCATGCGAGAAGCCATCCCACCAAAATGCTTTGCACAAAAGTAGAAATTTTGGTGCCTCCTCTGGAGACCCTAATGTCAGAACATAACTAGGCTTCAACAAGTTTGAGTGGGGGATGGAGTCAGGATGTGGAATTTTCTGGGTTGTTCCAGGTCTGACCGGCTGGCGCTACTTAGCAGACTTCAGGGGATTCAGAACCTCTCTTCAGATTTATGGCAGCCCAGCCAGCCCAGGATTGGTGTAGGGGTGAGGAAGGCCGCCTTGCCCCATGAGTTCCCCAAAGTTTCCCCTGAAAGGGCACTGGGTCCCTGAGCCAGGGGTCCCTCTGCTGAGACCCCCGGAGAAGCCAGATTACCTTCTGTGGCCTTACAGCCCTAGCACCTGCTCTGGCCTCTGGCCCCATGCACACAGCACTCACTTGGATGAAGTTCCAGCGCTTGTACAGGCTGCTCTTGACCTTGTCGCAGTCAAGGAGCTGGGGCAAACGACTCTTGGAGTTGTCCACCAGGCAGCGGGTGTCGGGAAGCAGCGTGGTGGTCCCCAGAGCGCCCAAGTGTAGGAAGCCTTCCTTGGTGTAGCGGGCGAGCTGTAGAGAGAGAAGCAGGGGTGGGCAGGGGAGAGGCAGTGGGAGGTAGGGGTGCATGAGGTGGGGAAAGGGACTCACACCTGCAGCCCTGCCTTCTGCCAACACCGCAGGCCCAGCCACCACCTTGAGCCAGTCCCACACACCCAACTCCCGGGACAGTCCTGTTCTAGAAGGCTCTGGCACAAGACACAGATTCCCTGGGGCCCCTCTCTCTCTGCTGTTTTTCTAAGCAAGCCCTCAGTCCATGTCTCAGGACTTGAGCCTCTGTTCAGCAGCATGCGGGAGGCCAAACAGATGAAAAGAGCAAGGTATCTGAGTTACACAGCAGGGCTCTGGGCCATCTGGGGGCAGCCCCTTGACCCCTCTCCATGGCCTCAGCACTTATCAATAGCATTAAAGCTACAGTCCCAGAGAGTTGGTTTACTGAAAAGGAAAAAGACACTGAACAGTATTCAACCTCATCAAGTTTACAAGAGATAATTGAAAACAATGAGGGAACACATTGATAAAAGATATTGCTGTGTTGGGGCCGGCGCTGTGATACAGCAGGTACAGCCACCGCCTGCAGTGCCGGCATCCCATATGGGTGCCGGTTCAAGACCCGGCTGCTCCACTTCTGATCCAGCTCTCTGCTATGGCCTGGGAAAGCAGTGGAAGATGGCCCAAGTCCTTGGGCCCCTGCATCCACATGGGAGACCTGGAAGAAGCTCCTGGCTCCTGGTTTCTGATCAGCGCAGCTCCAGCCATTGCAGCCAACTGGGGAGTGAACCAGCGGTTGGAAGACCTCTCCCTGTCTGTCTGTCTGTCTCTCTCTACCTCTCCTTCTCTCTCTGTGTAACTCTGACTTTCAAATAAATAAATAAATCTTTAACAAAATTTAAACAAAGATACTTTGTCATTTTGGCAGAGTACACCTAGGATGGCCCTTCTCATAGCTGAGTGGGAAGCAGGATGGATTAAAATAGCCTTTCAAGTGGAGGATTCTGAAACAGACACTCTGTGCTTGCCAAGTGTTCGTCTCCTTTGACTCAACAAATCCACCTTTAGCAAAATCAGAATAATAAATGAAATTTTATGTGTAGAGTGCCTTTTGTGGCATTATGAGGGTGCTTTAAGAAGTTTGTAAAAAATGGAGTTAAAAATTTACAATCTGCACATAGTTGTGTTTTTTGTACTATATGTGCATTTTCTAAGAGCTTTTTGAAAGTCTATCGTATTTATTTATTTACTTATTTTTAAAGATGTATTTATTATTCATTCAAAAGGTAGAGTTACAGAGAGGCAGAGAGAGAGAGAGAGAGAGCGAGAGAGAGAGAGAGAGGTCTTCCATCCACTGGTTCACTGGTTCACTCCCGAAATGGCCACAAAGGCTGGAACTGGGCTGATCCTAAGCCAGCAGCCAGAAGCTTCTTCTGGGTCTCCCACGTGGGTGCAGGAATGCGAACACTTGGACCATCCTCCACTGCTTTCCTAGACCATAAGCAGAGAGCTGGATCGGAAGAGGAGCAGCTAGGACTTGAACCGGTGCCCATATGGGATGCCAGTGCTACAGGCCAGGGCTTTAACCCACTACGCCACAGCGCCGGCCCTGGTCTCTCATATTTTAATGACGAAAAAGCAGAAACATCCTAAGTGTGCTACACAAACCTGGAGCTTGCTTTGCTTTGTGTACCATGCACTGCTACAAGTGCCGAGGGACTGTGGCAGGATGAAGAACTACTCACCACCTTTTCTTCCCACAAACCCTTGGCACTATGACTTTGTAACAATTTCCATCAACTAATGAAGCCTGTTTCCCTTGGCCTTGCACGTTGGTGGCTCTTGTGACATGCTTTGGCCGACAGGAGGTGGTGGAAGTGAGGCTGTGCCTGTCCTTAGACTGAACTGTCAGCCCTGTGTGTTTCTATCATTGTCTTACTGCTGCCCCGTGGCACTCGCCCAGGCTGTCTTGCTGGAAGATGAGACATGTGTAGCCCAACCAATATCCAATCAACTGCCAGAGGAGTGGAAGAAGCCGGCTTAGGTCAGAGAGCCAACCTGCTAGCAGCTGATAGGAGATGACACCAGCTTCTGGGGTAGTTGTTACACAGCAGTAGTTAACTGATACAGGAATGCTGTTGCCTGCCAACGCTTCCCGCAACAGAGCCCAGATCATGCTCCTGGAAGCCCATATTGTTCTGATTATTATTTTTTTTTTTTTGAGAGAGAAAGATTCTGTCTGCTGGTTCCCTCCCGCAATGCCCACAATGGCCCTGGGTTAGAGGCTAAAGCCAGGAGCTAGGAACTCAACCAGGGTCTCCCACATGGATGGCAGGGATCCAATTGCTTGAGCCATCATCTTCTGCCTCCCAGGGCCCACAACAGCAGGAAGTTAGAATTGGGCACTGGAGCTGGGACTTGAATGCAGGCACTCTGATTTGGGTCACACATGTCCCACACAGCATCTTAGTCACTAGACCAAAAGTGCACCCTGCATGTTGTTTTTAAAATCATATTCCTGTATTTAAAAATGCATTGACCTCTGGCCGGCGCCGCGGCTCAATAGGCTAATCCTCTGCCTCTGGCGCCAGCACACCGGGTTCTAGTCCCGGTCGGGGCGCCGGATTCTGTCCCGGTTGCTCTTCTTCCAGGCCAGCTCTCTGCTGTGGCCAGGGAGTGCAGTGGAGGATGGCCCAAGTGCTTGGGTCCTGCACCCCATGGGAGTCCAGGATAATCACCTGGCTCCTGCCTTCGGATCAGCGCGATGTGCCAGCCGTGGCGGCCATTGGAGGGTGAACCAATGGCAAAGGAAAGCCTTTCTCTCTGTCTATCTGTCTCTCTCTCTCTCCACTCTGCCTGTCAAAAAAAAATGCATTGACCTCTTTTTTACACTCTGGGGTAAAATTAGCAGGGATCATTCCTCACTAAGAGTAAATCAGAGACCAAGTGCTCAAAACGTATCTGTGGGGGCCAGCATTGTGGTACAGCGGGTTAAGCTGCCACCTGCAATGCCAGCATCCCAGTCTTGGAGGCTGCTCCACTTTCCATCCAGCTCCCTGCGAACGTGTCCACAGAAAGCAGCAGTTGGTGACCCAAGTATGTGGGCCCCTGCCACCCATGTAGGAGACCAGGATGAAGCTCCAGGCTCCTGGCTTCAGCCTGGTAATTTATTTATTTTTTGGTATGAAGCATTTTGAAATCTGTGCATACTTTTTTTTCCATCATAATATGCATTTGCATGAACTTTCTGAATCTGCTTCATGTGCCAGGGGAGGGGGCAGAAGATAAGGATGGGGTTGCGCCCTCAATGGAGACGACTTCAGTGCAGGCTGGCATGACACGCCCATCTTAGTCTAGTGACTAAGATGCTTTCACTTTTGTTCTCACAATCCCATGTACAAGGTGGCTGGTGATCACCAGTACACAGCTGGTGCCTAATAACTTGCACTAAAGGTGTACATTGTATCATTTCTGAACAACGGTTGGTGAATCAGAGAGGTCCTATTCACCATGACACAGCTTCTACTATTCTTCCCTTTTAAAATAGAGGCAGGAGGTCATCTGGGCACCTTGCAGGGTGCTGGCCACTCCCCATGGGTTCCCAGAGACCCAACGGATGATTGTCCAGGCCCAGCAGAGGGCAGCAGAGGGACCGCCTCCCAGATTGCTGGGCAGGTCCTCGCCTCTCCCAGAGCGCCTGGCACGTGTCCCCAGGGATGAAGCAGGAGGTACCTGCAGCCCAGGATACCAGGGGATGAGTCTCTGCAGGGGACTCGCATTTCTTGGCTCCTTAGAAAGCTCCTTAGAAACTCTTGGCTCCGATCCCACAAGGGGAGCCTGCCTGCTTCCCACGAACAAGTGTCAGGGAGTTTAAGTGCCCTTGAGAGAGATGTGGCTCCCATGTGCTCTAAACCCAAATTAGTTCCAAATCAGAGTAATTGTGAGCAGCAACATGGTAGGCAAACCAGGAGCCTTCTCCCACCCTCCCCAAACAATGTCTCCCTGAATATATTTCAATTCACCAAATGCAAAGTGATGAATGGCAGCAGGCTGCCTTTATGTTCAGGGCAAAGATATACACAGCTGCTTATTGAAATTATGAATCAATCTATTATCCAGCAGGCAAATGAGCGGTGCTAAGCACATTAATTAACTGAGCATATCTGTGACCCAGATGTTTAAAGAGTGAAGCTAAATGCCACTGAGAGTAGGGGTTCTCCTTTCTGAGGTCTGTGAGGGCAGATGCTGGCCCCTGCTGGCCGTGCAGGGTGGGCAGAGGCACCTGTCGGGGCCCCAACACGAGCAGGGTTAGTCCTCTGGGAAAGGCGTATGCTCATATTGAAAATACTGGGTCATATGCAGATGCTCTTTTGACCTGGCCAGAGGCCAACACCTGGCTGTTTTTTTTTTTTTTTAATTAGGAAATCACCATGGCTTAAAGGATCATGGGGCTGACAGATCTCACATCTGCTTTCCTGCCCCACAAGGCAAGAAGATGATGGATGTAGGGGGCCTACTGTGCACACAGTCCCCACTGTGGATGCCCCAGCCCTGGGCTTGGAGCTGTCCCAGTGTCGTCTGCCTCTCACGGCCCTTACCCCCTACACTCCCTGCTTGTCCTCAAGTTAAGTCTAAGACTTTCTGCTTGGAGATTCTATTGATCAGCTTTCCTCTAGAATGTTCCGGCTTCAACCTTCCTGGACCCTACGTGATTCTCTCCCTCGAGGTCTTCTCTAATTCCTTCCGGCCCATGGTCACCTGCTCTCAGGTTCTTACAGCACCGGGGACCCACATGCACTCCCCAAGGCGTGCTTGTGCCTCAGTGCTTGGTCTTGTCCATCGTGATGGGCCGTCTACCAGTCGACGGATGTTCAGGTTGCTGCCACTTTTTGGCGGTTAGCAATAAGTCGACTGTAGACACCCACGTCCACGGTTTTGTGTGAATGTTTTCAGTTCTCTTCGATACATCCTGAGAAGCAGAACTGCTCATCGTTGGATCACACGGTAGCTCTCTCTCGACT